ACCAGGCTCAACTTTGACCTGAACGTGGCTCTGGAACAGCTTCCGAGTGCAATGCAATGCAGGTTCGGGCAGAAAACCTGGGGCAAGCATGGAGCTGTAGGGTTTTTTTCTGTCTGAGCATGCACAGGACTGCACCCTGAACGAACAAAAGCAGCCTCGCTCCATCATAGGACTTACGAGTGGGGTTGGTCATGTGCCAGCTGCAGTTCCCTTCTTTGCTCCGGGCATTGCAAGTGCCCCTCCTGGCACACTGTATGCGCCACATCCACTTAGAGACCTGCTACTTGGCGTGTCATTCAGGGACTGTAGTTTTCAGAGGATCATGATACGTGCATTGAATTCATTCGTGAACTTGTTCCTTTTTCTGCACCTAGAACTTTTTTTTTAAATCTTTCTTCTTCTGGATCTTCCTTTCTATTGCTCAGTGTTCTCAGATTTTCCATATAGAATTCTTACTGGAGAAACAGTAGTAATATAATGCTATCACGTTAGACTTTCTACAGTAGTTTTGAAGAATTGCATTGTCTTTTAACAAAGATGAGAATTGAACCTGGTACAACTGGGTTTTCTATTTTACCATTGCTTTGGGGTTTGTAACTTTCCTCTTTGTTTCTCTCTTATGGACCATGCATTTTAAATACAAAAATAAAAGGAGAAAACAACAGGGCATTGCAACCATTGTGTGTGTGATTTCTATAACAAATGAGGGTTTGATTAAAAAAAGCAAACACATAAAAGTCAGACGTTCACTTCCACTGGGATCTCTCCATCTTTGCTCCCACTTGCTCCAGCAATGAGCTGAATTGTTCCCAAGAGCAACTCCGGGACCGTTCTGCCCTGCATGAGCTTGGCCCAACCCTGGGCCTGACCCAAATGCAGCCGGCAATGGACAAATGTTCCATCTTGACCAGTGGTCTAATGCAGCTGCGGCTCTCAGGAATCCAACCCAGTACTTTTTTTAAGCAAGGCCACTGACGTCATCTGCCCATCAAAAGTTAACGCTTGCACAACAGACTGGTCATGTAGACACACCGCTCTCTAGGTCACAACTTTCTTACTCTGCTGAAATGTATTCATTTGTATGGAATTATGGCATCCGATCTGCATCTCCCTGTACAAATTAACACACGCACACTTTGTCCTCTTTTTGGGCAATGCACAAATGTGCTTCCCGGCAGACAGGGATAGTCGAGGTGTTTGTGTGGCATAAACAAGCATTTTAGGCGTGCCTGCAGACTGCTGTTCGCCAGAAATACCTCTCTGAAATGTGCATTTGAAACAGCACAAGATTCTGCTAGGTAGCCTGTACGATTGCAGTTCTCCTATTTAGGTCATCAGGAAATGTCAGAAACTCAAAGAGAAGATTTCTCCTACTTGCCACTGCTGAGGGACTCAAACAAGCAAGCAAACAAAGCAACTATTGAAAGGCAAGCTGCTCATCAGCATACCTTTCAAGAAATGTTATTCATTTATGTGCAAAATAAAGAGTTTGTTTATCTGGCAAACTCTTACCTGCCGTTTGTTCTGGGACACATTGCTGCGACACTCGCTCTTACTCAATCTGCTCCTAAACAGGCTAAGAGACTATCAGAGGTGCCGACGGTACTTCATCCTCCATTCACATCATGGGGCTGCAGAAATGACCTGCACTTAGTTAACTTTCGATTTAAGGCTCTCCCCACCAGATAACGATGCTTATTCCTTTGTGTGCTGCAAATGGTCCAATGCCCCCCACATTGTATAATGCCTAAATCGTGGCAAGCTCTGCTGCTTTGAGGCCCCCTCCCCACAGTTCTTTGTACCAATCAGAAATCTCCATTTCTACCCCAAAGCCCCGCCCGGATGGTGCCCCTGACCACAGTGGGAAAAGAAAAGACCACTGTGACATCTGTGACATTTCCCCTCTTTCTTCTCACTGTCTGTGCATCGGAATTCTTCCGGTTCAACTCCCTGGATTCCAACCTTTCTCTCTGCTGTAAGCCCAGCCTGTGTGGAGGGTTTATGTGGGCCCTTGGGAGGAAGTGAGTCCGTCATTGCGCGGGGGTAGCTAGCCAGGCCGGTTTGTGCACACGCTGCCCATCAGCCATCCTGCTGCTGCACAGAGTTGTGGTTCTGTGCCCACAGCTTACAGGCTTTGTGTACTTCGTTAGCACAAAGACGGGGCCTGCTGGTGTGCCTGAGCTTGGTTTGGGCTTGGCTGGCTTCCTAGGTCAGGGCTGAACACAAGAAAGCAGTCCAGTGGTCGCAAGAGAGCCATTCTGGGAGGATTTTCACATCATGACCGTGCATATGCTATGCTATGCTAGTTGCGAAGTCATGTCTGACCCGTCGCGACCCCATGGACAACATTCCTCCAGGCCTTCCTGTCCTCCACCGTCCCCTGGACTCCACCTAAGCTCACACCGACTGCTTCAGTGACTCCATCTGGCCACCTCATCCTCTGCTGTCCCCTTCTTCTTTTGCCATCTATTGTTCCCAGCATCAGGCTCTTCTCCAGGGAGTCCTTCCTTCTCATTAGGTGGCTGAAGTATTTGAGTTTCATCTCCAGCATCTGGCCTTCTAAAGAGCAGTCAGGGTTGATCTCCTCTGACTGGTTTGATCTCCTTGCAGTCCAAGGGACTCACAGGAGTCTTCTCCAACACCACAATTCCTTGGTGGAATCGCTGCCTGCCATGGCGAAGGGGCTTGCATAGCACAATGAAGCTATGAGCTATGCCATGCAGGGACACGCAAGACGGACAGGTCATAGCAGCGAGCTCTGACATAAGGTGATCCACTGGAGAAGGAAATGGCAACCCACTCCAGCACCCTTGCCATGAAAACCCCATGGACAGTATTGACTGTGCATAGCTAACCTTTTTTCCCTAGGAGGCTGACAGAGAAGGCCTGTCCTCTGTAAACAGACCCCTGGTCAAGCTGGGAGAAAGAAGGAGCTCCTAGCCCCTTCAAGCGCTGGCCTCCCTGTACTGCTGGTGTGTATGCAGCACTAACCCTCCTCTTCCTGTTGGAGAGCAGCCCTCGACTTATGAGAGGTTCACCATGCCTGCTTTAGGTAAGCGATAAACACCATTTTCAATCCTTAAAGGAGAAATCCCTCATTGAACACTTCTGTTTCCTTGCCTCTCCTTCTGCAGGAGGACCTGGAATTCAAAAGCTCGGTTTCCCCGCATCTCCCTTCTGCCTATTTCCCCGTCTGACCTTTTATAGCAGGTGCAAGCAGATTCCTGTACTGATGCATCAAGCACAGTGGCAGTGGGCAGAGATGGCAAGAAAGCAAAACAAAGACCTCGGTCTGTATCATCACAGGCCACCCAGTGCTTCTTATTGTGGAACAACAGTGCAATTATTTTGTTCTGCTCGTAAAGAGAGGGGGCTGCATATTGGAAAAGCAACAACGGTAGCCCCTGGCGATTGGTAATGCAGGGAGATAGAACAGAAATTAGACGCTGCACACCAGAGAGAGGACCAAGCTGCATACGCATATGATGTGTTTATGTTGTTTAGCTCCCTGCGGTGATGAGAAAAATGGGCCTTGCCATTTCTTTCTGTGAGCACCCTGCTGCTACTGCAATATGAACAAGGTTGTACACATCATTGCCATACAAAGTACCTCCTTTATTGATTAGTGTCTTTTTGGGGAAGGAATCTGAAATGGCCAGTAGCGCTGCTGAAGAATTGCCATGCATATTCATACCAGCATCAAAGCGGCAGATATGCAAATTGGCAGCAAAGTTGCTGGAGGGCTTTTAATTAGTCCCAGCTGAGGATCCCAGAGGAAACTGTACAAGTCTTGGCTAATTCCCCCCTTCTTTCCCCTTCCTTCCCCTTGCGTTCTCCCCAAAAATCCTTTCAGTTCAAGGGAGGACATTTTCCATCAATATAAAATAAAGCATTCACCACTCCACAACCAAATGTGTCTGGGGTTATCTTCACTGCCTGGAGTAATCTTCAGGGAATGGGCTTACAAAGAAATCATACCTCAGAAATAGTAGCTGCTCCACTCAGCAGAGGTCTGTCCTCCGGTTTAGGGTGTCCTTCATTTGATGGGCTGTCCAGTCAAAGCCCAGTTTAGAGATACGGAGTCATAAGCAGCTGGGAGAAGCAGGACCTTGCAGTTCCTCATTTACAATTCCCATCTGGAAGTGGAAGGGGCAGGTACCAGCTCACCTAGACAGTTTTCTCCTGTCCAGACAGATCTTGCATTGCTCTTTAGCTCACCTTTATTATTTCTAAATGTGCACCCATTTAGAATATGCAGATATAATGCACATTTGTGCCTTCTCATTTTGGTGATGAATTTCCTCTTTTTTTTTTTTTGGCAATGTGTAAGTAACTATCCTATACAAAAATATTTGGAGGGCTTATCCTGGCCCAGGAATCTGTAGTGGAATTGGGACATTTCTCTATCATAACTGCCGATGTCAGATCAAAACCTTAACTGGTATCTGTGGACTGCAAAGTAAACATAACAGATCCGATGCATGTCAGTGCGACCCTGGCTTAGAAGACAGATTTGTGGCATGGATCTTATATTTTATTAGGGATTAAAGGTAACTTCCTATATGGGAACATATAGAGAAGTGGAGGAAAAAAAAAAAGCCTGGGACAGAGTAATGTAAAAAGCAAGCCAGTTTTAATCCTTCAAAGAACTGGAAGCAGAAGCTTTGGTAGAAGGAAGGGTAAAAGCTTCGTGCAGAGAATGAAGGCAGCTTTTTTGTTCAGGGTGGAGAGAACACAGACTCTCCTACGATGCAGCAAGATTCTGGTTAAGTGTTCTCAAAAGTCCAGAAAAGGCTCATGCTCAGACTTCTGGTCTAGCAAGATGTATAAAAATACAGCCATTGCCTTGACTTTGGAGAGTGGAAATCTAACTTCTTTGGGTATATGGCATTTTTGCCAAGATAATACAGGGGTCCCTTTGGTGGATTTGGGTCTCTATTATTTATTCCTAATCCATTTTTAATAGTAAGAGCATATAAATAAACACAATAAAATACAGCTGAAAAACCTCATCTGGTAGCACTTTATAATAAATGGACATGAATCAATACTAAATTACAATGAATTTTCTATGAAATTACATATTACATTCATGCCATATCAGTATCCAAAATGGGGGCTTTTTATGCCCACTGATATTCCAATACATTCCCAAGGAATTATCATCAATACATCTCTTAATGTAAAGTGATTGTTTTAAACCTCTCAACTCCTCAAAGAGCCAAAAGAAGGAGCAAATTGAAAACTGTACTTTGTGAGGGAGAAGAAAGTAATTATTAGAGACAAGTAAAGCTTTAACTTTTGATCAAACATTAAAAAAGGGCAAATTCATTGACCTGGAAGTTCAGGATTGGTTTGGTTGACCCACTGAGAAAGGTGTGCAAACTATTTGCAAGGGGTGTTGTGCCTATGCGTGTTTGTGGTTATTTATTTATCTATCTATTAATTTTTTTACAGGAAAGACACACCTGAAGGGGGGAAATTTTCTGACCTGCTTCACTTTGGAAGTGTGAGCCTTATTGTAATGATGGCTTCAAAAAGAAGAAAAAGCAAAACAAAAGTAAAGTAGATGGATTGGATAACACAGAGTATAAATAGATTGGGGGTGAGGGGTCTCACACCTCTATTGGAACATGAAACGTCAGCTTTTTCCAGGAGAAACCCATTCATGATAGGGAAATCTGACAACCTGCCAATCCAGAGAATTGATTGCAAGCTGCTACACACATCCACCCATTATTCTTTGAGTACACTGGAGACGTTTTCCTGAGCACCAAGGTACAGAACAAAATTAACAACCATTTTAAATGGCACTCTTTTTCATGCAGCCATGGGGGAGGAAGAAAAGACTGAACAAGAGGAGCATCGTGTGTGGCTGGGGTGTGCCTTGTGCAAGTGCTTTTTTCAGTGCTGAGATGTGCGGCCTTCCTGGGCAGACATTCCGGGGGACTTCGGGAGACCCTTTTGTGGCACAACAGCCACCACAGCGGTCACAGTAGGCTGCCCTGACCATGAGGAGAACTTGCCACGGGTAGCCTCCAACCATCTGGAGCACAGGAACTGGAGGTGTGAAGGGCAAAGGTGCAGCGCCAAGGATTGCCCTAAAGAGGCACCTGCTGCAGCTAGTGTCTCAGTCAGAGGTCACAGCCAGTCCTAAGAACATCCCGGTCTTGATGCTTCTTCTCATAGCAAACAAGGGTGACCTCCTTTCCCTCTCCCAGGAAGTGAGCATGCAGCGAGAAGGGCAAGAAGGAGAGCCAGTGTTCTCCATGGGCTTGGTCCTCTGTCTCTGGGAGATGGCACAGACTGGGCCCCAAGTGAAAGGCAAGAACATGGGCAGAGGCGATTTTGGCTGCAAGGAGTGGGAAGAAGGTAGGAAGCCCTCCGAGAGGATCTTGCCTGAGGACTGTTCCCCGTTAAGCCTTTACCCAGCAATGACAGAGGACCAGCTCTCTTCCTGGTCAGAGTCAGCACACATTGAACTGCATCAGTGTCTGTGACAGTCAGATCAGCACATCTTATTACTCCAATTTCTCTCCAATCATCCCCGTCCAGTGCTGCATTAAGGCCACGCTCGCTTGCCAGGGTGTGCGTTTACGAGGGAGGAAGCCTAGTGGCATGATGGCTGACTTCTTAGGAGGGTGCTGCTGTTTAAAGGGTACTGGATGCACACTCCATGTACATCTCCTCTCTGGAGAAATCAGCCCACGTTCCACCCTCAGCTCCTTCCACCTTGTTGCAGAAGGCTCTGATGGAGGGACCATGATACATGGTGTTCTCCATGAATCTAGTACTGATGAAACTGTTGCATGCGTGAAATTCAAGATTAAACCCTCCTTAGCCATATACGAGGAGCACAAATAATTTCTGAGACTTCCTCAGGTTTGTGGAGTCACAGCAAGCAATCCCCCACCTTTTAAAACTCATTTCTGCGTATGAGCACTGCCACGCTCACCGAAGGATCATCTGAAGCTCTGTTTTCTGGAGCACAAATGGCCATGCCCCCCCAGGAGGAGGAAAATGCAGCCGCCCAGTATCTCTGTGCTAGATCGGTGCCCTGATTCTTTTGCCTATCCTAAATGTGCTCTTGCTCTTGAATGAGAAGTGAGGTGGGGCTGAGAGTCTGCACGCTCAGTTGTGCTCTGTGTTTATACTGGGGCCTGGGTGTCTGTCACAGAACAATGCAGCAGTGCACAAATGTTGCTCTTGGCCACCTTGTGCGTATCCTGAAGCTGCCAGGATCCCATGCATGTTTCTTTGCAGCCCAGCTGGGTTGGGTTGCAAAAGGACCTCTCCCCACCCCCCAAAAACACTGTTTTCATGCTGCTCATAGTGGAAGAGAAATAACAGATTTGCTAAGGAATGGGAGAGACTTTTCCTCCACTTGCTGGTGATGCCTAGAGCTCAAGAGGTAGGGAGAGGAGATGCATGTTCATGTGCAGGGTGTACCTGCATGTGCCTCACCAGCAGGGCCATAAAATCAAGAACTTCTGGAGCTATACATCTCCCCCAGATCAGGGGAACTTGACAGCTACTTATGAGATTTTGTCTGGATGACACACTGCAGCTGGTTGAGTTCTGTTAGCCACATTCTGGAGGCTTGAGGGGGAAAATTGCCTTAAATACAAACTGGCATTTGCAAGGCTAGTGCTTATGTTTACTTCAACACGCCTCCACAAAGTGGGTGCTTTGGACACAGCAGATCATCACAAAGACCTCGCCCTACCCCAGTGCTGCAAAGAAAGGATAATGGCAGTGTGAGAAGGAAAATGGCGCACCATCTCCCTCGGAAGAGGTGATGGTGGCAGCAAGGAATGCTGCAAAGCAACCTCGGCTGAGACAGTGTAGCACAAGTGCTGGACTGAGCGATAATGGTTTTCTGTGGGAGAAAAGCTGTGAATGCATCTGATCCCAGTCTGCATGTATAAAACACATCCAGTCGAATATTGCTTCTTGGAGGCCTTTTCATCTGGGAGCTCTGGAGGTGGCAGAGCAACCGGTGATAAAAACTGACAGGTGAGGCATACCAGGCAAATTAGATTGTGAAAAAGGCATTGATCTCACCACCTGGATAGCAATTTCATTTGGTTCCAGGTACTCCCCCCCCCCGCCCCCTTTGCTTGGAAATTTGTGAATTCTCTAAGGCAGCAACAGCCTTTTGCTTGCAAATATTTGGGACTCTTAGTCTGCTCATATTCTACTGGTGCATAAAGCCATCTTTGTTACTTTTCCATTTAGGATCCTCTAAACAATTAACATAATTATTCAGTGGCATTCTTTCTGGATTAGCTGAGGCTACATAGTTCAGTAGAGACTCAAACCAGACATGTTACTATTGTGACACTCCATTTAGAAGGCTGAAATGGTTCTGCTCCTCTCCCAACATGATTCAGATTGCTGTGTGGTATTTATTTGGCGTATTAACCACAAAGCCTGGGCCCTCTGTGTGTTTCTTGGGATCTTCCCCAGTAAAATCCTGAAGAGGTGGAATCCAGTTCTTCAGAACCAATCAGGAGTCTAGTGGATCCACCATTAAACTCTCTCAATGTTCATTTGTTAAATTTTTGCAAATTTTCAAACTTAATTTTTTCTACATCTAGATATTTATACTCATTGCAGTCTTTTAGTTTCTTTTTCTTTGTGTAAAAACCATCAGTCTCTTCTTCTCTCTCCCTCTCTCTCTCACACGCTCTTTTTTGCATCTATAAATCTCTCATAAAAGCAGTGAAAATGAAAACAGACTTGCCTCTCCATTGCATGTCACAAAAAGGCAATGCATTAGAACATCCATAAAACAGTCAGTCATACAGAAAACAGCTTACCCTAAAAACACTTTTGTTGTTGGTATTATCAAAAACAAAAGGGTGGGGGAACTGGCCACAATATGTGCCTTGTAAACGCGTGTCCTTCACTTAAATAATCAGTTTGCACATTCGACAGGGTGTCCTAATTGTGCATTCACGTCCATTCCTGCAACTGTGAGCGGGCAGAGCAGGACACCTGGTAAGGGCATTGTCACTGGATTTGAACGATATCTTTAAAGGGATGCAGGGCGTCTATGTCAAAGTTCAGGCTCTCTCTACAATGGGCAAGCAGGTCAAAGAGCTTCTCGGGAGGCAACTGCCCCCAGCATTGGCCACCGCTTGCGCTCTACTCGACCGAGTCACTGTGCTCCAAGCCAAGGTCACTAACGTTTGTTGTCTGGAGCTCCTCGGCATCTTCTTCCAGCTCCTCGTCCTCCTCGTCCTCCTCCTCCTCTTCCTCCTCCATCTCATCCTCCTCCTCATCCTCTGTCCCATCAAGTGAGTCATCGTGAGCTGCCATCATGGCTTGCTGCATAGCAATGGTAGCGTTGTCAGAAGAGAGGGATTGGAGGTTGTCCATATTGATGGAGCCTGGAATGAGAAGCAAAGGGATGATGGCAACCTTAGAGCACCACCGGCCGCCGCTCAACAGGCCAATGAACTGGTTGCCACCCTCGAAGAGCAGTGGGATAGAACACTGCAACTAAAAGGGAACAAAGAGTCTTGTGGCACCACAAAGATCACAAAGTTTCTGGATAAGATCTCGTGAATAGCAGACTACCTTGTGTGATGCTCGAAGCTTTCACCTTGGACTGGCAGAGAGTGTGGGGAACTGTTGTCCCAGGGAGCTGCAGTGCAAATTCTCTTGGACAACCCCTTTTCATCTCTCCGTTCTCCCTTCCCAGTGTGTGCATGTGACTCTTCCAATGTGTGGTCAACGCTTCAGGCATCTCACGAAGTAGACAACATCCACAAAAGTGTACGTCAGAATAAATGCACAAGCCTTTAATAACAGGTGTGTAGAAGCAACACACAAACTCATCAGTATCTTTACATTCCACTGGGAAACTCCTCCTGACTAGCTCCTTTTCAGGTTTCAGTCTTTGTTTTGCTCTTATATCATGAACGTTTGTGCAGATTCTTCCAAACATATTCATTAACTGTGCACATCTTTGACATGAATGAACTATTTCTCCATTGATTTAGGAGTGCGGGCATGCATTTTTGCAGCAGTATGAATTTTTTCAGGGGCATCTTTCAAAGGTACACACACAACCAAGTGCATTCTTCTTTGCGTCCGCAAGTCACAGTGCACAGTCACACATGTACACTGACTGCATTTTAGTCTGTATTCAATCCAGGAGGTACAAATTCTGAAATGATTTTCACATACCTCCTACACAAGGATCCTTGTTGATTTTTTCTGCAACAGACTAATATGCCCAGCCCTCTAAAAAGAAAGAAATACATATCTGCCCCAGATTTCTCTTGGGCAGATGTATTAGAATGTTGGATGTACCTTGCGTATTTCTAGGAATCCTTCCATGAAAAGTCCACAACTGGCAGAACAGCTTTTCCAAAACTTGTTTTGCCAATTACTGGCCTCCCTACAGCAGGAGGGAAGGGAAGGAAAGGCAACTCCACCTCTCCCTTCCAGTACCTCTATTGTTCCTGAGTGCCTTGCTGCTCTCCAGAGCAGATTCACAGGGTTATCCGAGTGTAGGACACGGAATAATAAATTCTGTGGCGACAACCCAGATTCAGGCTAGATAGCAAGAAAAGCTTCCTCACTGTCAGGGCAATATGACAGTGGAACCAGCTGCCTAGAGCTGGGAGAAGCCTAGTGTGGGCTCTCCCACACTGGAGACATTCAAAAAGAAACTGGACAACCCACTGAGTGGGGTGGTGGAATGTGGTGTCCTGCAACCTGGACCTGGTGGCCTTCATGGCCCCGTCTGACTCTACTATTCTATGGGTACAAGGGGCTGCAGGAGCAAGGGGGAATCAGAGAACATTGCAGTGAGTTGCAGTCGCCCCACTGCAATTCACAGAGCTCTCCCTCCAGCAGGAGCAAGGCCAAGATCTCAGCCCCTAGAAGGGGCAGAGTGCATTTCTTGGAATCGGTGGGAGGGAAGCTTTTGACCACTGGTTCAATTTCTGGAAGAGAAAGCATTTATTCAGTATCACAGTTCTATCCTGCTTTCTCCCTTCTTGCATGGAGCCCAAGGGGGCTTATGCAGCCCCCCCTCTCTCTATTCTGTCTTTAACCCTGTGAAGTAGGTTGGGCTGAGAGTCAGTGACTGGCCCAAAGTCACCCAGTTGGCTCCATGGCCAAATGGTGAGGGGGATCCAAGCCTCCTGAGTCCTAGAGCTCAACTCTGACCACTATTCTACTCTGGATCTCAATATACTGGCTTGCCTCCCTTTAATGCTCTTGCCCAAAGTATCTCGTCTCTGAATGGCATCCTACACTGAACATTCAAGTGAGCTGGCTTAGGGATGGCAGCCTTTATTTCAGTTCTCTGCACGTGATGCACTTTTGATGCAGTATCCCCGGGGGGCTCCAGGAAAGGCTGCAGAGGGCTGCACGAGGCCCCCTCGCGCACCTCTGTTGAAGTGTCAGGCTCAGCAGGTCCACCTATAGCATAAGGTCAGCTGGACGGTGCGCCCAGGCCGGAATGCTCACCATCGGGGTTAGCACCAGGGTTGCCTCCTTGCTGCTGCAGCACTCCCGCTGCGATAGAGTTGGGCCAGAATCTCTGTGTCGGCCGGTGTTGCGATTTGATCTTCTTGGCTTTGGGGGCTGGATCCGGATTGCTTGCGTCCAGCATGGGCTGCAGGATACGTCGTCGGGCATTGATAAACCTTCCCATGGGGAGGAAAAAGAGAAAGATTTCATCACAGTCTTGGTCTGCTCTGTGTGCCACCTGTTGCTGCTGGTGGGCCATTGCATCCTTTGGAATCTAACAGTTGTGGATTCCTGCATAAAGACTTCCTTAAGCAATTATATGCAGTGGCAAATTCATGTGTAGTGTGTTAACCGGGAGCCTCAAAGCAATCAGCTGAAAAGAGGAGTCGTTGAAAAAACTTGGAAGACCCTGAGAGCAATAGTATTGTCCCCAGCCATTGTTTGAGGGTGACATAGACTAGTTCAGATTTCTAGCTCTGAGTTCAGAGAGTGTCCCAGGGATCAGAGTGCCAGGTAGATATTTTTTTTTAAATGCATGGATTTTTAAATCTGTCTTGCACTGGTGATAAGTAACCAGTAGAGGGAGCTTATCTGAATGGATTTTCCCTTTGTCTGGACAGTTAAAAGACTGGAAACCTCAGGAAGCTCATACAACTGTGAGTTGAGGTTTGGCTTTCACTGGGGAGGGAGCAGGTCTTGAAATGAGTGCCAGCATCATCCAAATTGTCCTGCATGAACCAATTAAAAAAAAAGGCACATGTAAGGAGTGATGCAAAAAAGGCTATTCATAGGGCAGGCGGTGTGCTTGAATGTACACGGCATTCAACATGACCTTTGCTGCCATGTATAGTTTGCACCCAGGGCAGAACGCTATAGCTTCATCTAGCTCCATTCGTCTATTGGATCTGCAGCTGCTGGCCAGAGACTCATGGCAGGGGGTCCCATTGTCCCCGTCACATGGGGATATCAAAGGAACTGCACTGGAGCCCGTCTTGGTGTCCGGCAGGTGTTCTATTGCTGAGCTGCGATCTCACATTTGCTGCTGACTTCGACAGATTATATGAAGTGAATTCAGGAGAAAGTGCCTGTGACCTCCCGCTGCCAGTCTTCTTCTTGCCCTTCAGAGCTGCCCTGGCCATGCTAAGGGAGGCTTCTCGCCCCTTTCCAGATAAATAAGGCTTAAAACCTGTGCTTACTTTTGACCAGACAAACCCAACCACAATTATTCTAGCCAACCAGCCATTTCTAACTGCACATCTGGGTTTAAAAGCACAGCACAGCACAGCACAGCAAGCGAGATATGTCTAGGATCTATTTGCGCTTCCCCAAGGTAATTGCTATTATGCACAAACAAACTTCTTTTCTCTATGTGCCCTCATGTGGTGAGAATTGGAATTGTCAAGTCCTGCGACTAAAGTAAAACTAAGGGTTACCCTAGGCTAGTGATGGCAAATCTTTTAGAGACCAAGTGCCCAAACTGCAACCAAAAATCCACTCATTTATGGCAAAGTGCCAACACTGCAATAAAACCTGAAAACTGAGGTTGTAGTGCAGAAAAAAACACCTTAAAGCCAGCCCAAGAGCGCGCGCGCGTGTGTGTGTGTGTGTCCGTCCCCTTGGCAGAGCACTGACCAGCAATGCGAAAACTTGGAAAAGTCAGGGCTAATGAGTTTTGGCAATTTTGAAAAAGCCTTCCTTGAGTAGCTTTTTCTGCACTGCTCATCATTTCTGCCCACTCTAAACACATTCCAACCATCAAAATCACACCAGGACACCTCGTTTTTCTAACCCTAACCCTAACCTGGTGCACAACCCTCACCCTAATATAGGGCGAAAGTTCCTTGGAAATAATGCGATTTTGAAAAAGCCTTCCTTGATTTTGAAAAAGACTTCCTAGACATTGTCTGTGGGGGCATAAGATACCGGGTATCAGTTCAGAGCTGCAAAGAGAGCAACACCCTCAGTGGAATGGGGTACGGATCCTGGCTCAGATTTCCTGGCCCTATCCTCCTCAGTAGCCTGGGAAGCTCTGAGGCAGTTCCCTGTCCCAGGACCATTTTCATGCCCTCAGGACGGGAGTGGACACAGGAAGGATCTACATACCTCTCAGACCTCTCCCCACCGGCACCCATCTATCAGAAGTCAAAAGGAAGGAGATGGAGTACCTAAAACGCTTCTGTGGCTTCTTTGGGAGGCCTCCATTGTCTGAGTATCCATAGAGTAGGATTGCACCACAAGGTTGCAACCCCATTTTCATTTATCTGTGAGCAAGCCTGACTGAATGCAACAGCACCTGCTTCAGAGTAGACACACGTATGATTGTGCTGTGCAGTGTGCATCCTTAACACAGGTCAGAGCTAGAGTTGCCGGTGCATGTTGGACACGTGCCTCTTAAGGCAAGCAGCCTCAGGTTGTGAGGATGGAGAAAAGGGCGAGTGTGTGGTAATTTTGCTCACCAGTTGTTGACTTGCAAGAGCGTGAGGTTTGTCTGAGCCGCTATTTGCCTCTTCTCATCCTCTGTTGGATACGGGTGCTGGAAAGGGAGAGAGAAAGTCACTCGAGTGCATGAGGCTGCGGCGAGGATCCAGAGGGCTTCCCTTCAAAGAAGAGACAGGCAGAACTCCATGGTGTCATTCCACCGGCATTTCATCTAAAATGTTTTACTGTAAGGCTTTTTGTACATAAAAAGCACATGACGCAGTAGCTTGGTGGTATTATTATAATCCTATGTTAGTTTTGCAGTTGTAAGGCTTTTTTGTTTCTACAATGGGGATGGTTACAAACTTTGCTTGCATAGATTCACGGAATATATATGATCATTCCAAAGGAAACATATCTTTTTAAGTGCATCATTTCGATTTTTTCTCGCAGTCTTTTATCCTGTCCTAATTTGATCTCCCCTTTGGATAGCAAACCTCTCTTCTCCTACTTCTTTTCTGAGCACAAGTTTTGTGGAACAAGTTTTAATTCCCTTAATTATTTGCATCTTCTGATTGTTCTGCTGTCCTGTCTGGTTAGCCAGAGTGCCTGCTTTTCTCTATGGGTTTAACAATATATTTGTCATTATAACCTATGCACCTAAGAATATTTCCTTTGTATATCTGCAAGCACACACACACCATCTCAATCTCCAAATTCCACTCCCAGTGCATGCCAGGTGAGAGGTGTGTGGATTTTTTTTTAAAGTCCATCATAATCATTCTACTTTTAAAAGAATTGGAATTGCACAGCTTGTATATTTATATAGTGGCACTGCTACTTACCTTTACCACACTGTATGTTTTGGGGCCCAAATACATGAAGGAACACCTGTTTCCATACCAGCCCGATGGAGCCCTAAGTTCTCTTGCTGTGACCATACACCTTCAGCCTTCCTTATTGAAAGTATGCCACATAATCACAGCTTTCTCAGGAGTAGCATCCCCACTTTGGAATGCTGGGGTGTCCCCCTTCCTCTCTTCCCAAAGGATTGCTCCCTAGGTGGCTTAAGGGAAGCCAAGGGTAAGCTGACTTTAGCCTTGTGGGATCTACATTGCTCTTTTTGCTTGAACCAGGGTTTGGTGCAAAAGGCATACGCTTCCCATGACAGATTTGTTCTGAGCAGCAGAGCTGAGCTGCACTCAAGGTCCTTCCACAGACCAATCCGTACCTTGTTATCCTTAAGCTTGCTTCATTGCATCAGTATAATTTAAGGTGGATGAAGAATCATTTTGTTGCTGCAACTGCTAAACAAGCGGGAGCCAGGAAGCCTTAGCAATCTAATGGAAATCATGGAGAGCCTTCCCAGGAGGTCCCTTCTGCCTGTCCCTGCATTACAGCACTTTTCTCTGCACGCAAGCTTGGGACCAGACAGCCACATCCACCTGTGCTGGCTAGCCATCCCCTAGGGCTGGCTCAGTGCCGTGTCTGCAGCATTACTGGGGAAACTGCCTCTCCAGGGGTCCCCCGTCTGCTCCTCATCTCCACCAAGACTTTTCCAGATGCTATGGTAAGGGGTGACCTGGCAGACAGAATCCCAGGGCTCCCTGAGGTCAGAATAATGCTTTATTTGCAGCACTGGGGGCCTCACCTGGATCATGGGGAATAATAGCTGCAAGCTCACCTTGAAGGATTACCTGAAGGGATTTTTTTTCTGACAAGGTATGTGGAATGCCTTGAACACACCAGAAATTTGCAACCCTGTGCTGCTACTTTGCAAATGTTTAATCCACTTCCTTCCCTGAAGCGGGTTTGTTCTACTATTTAGACAGTAGAGGGGAGCAGTGAGTTAGCTTGGGGAAGGGAAGGCTGGAAGACCGGCTGCTAATTCTGCGTTGTTTGCTACGTGACAAATAGAACCTCGACTGGAAGTCCAGCGCCATGCAAACTTCAGAATTAAAATAGATCAGTTCAAAAGATCAAAGTGCAACACCCAGCAAAAGAATGGATCCAGGCATTACGGCAAACTGAGCAGCCCCAAGAGTGCTTGTTTGACATGCCAGTAAGAAAAGAGGAATCGGGGGGGGGGGGGGGGAGTCTGGAAAGAACAGGCGAAAGAAAAAACAGGAACTACAAGCGCATGCTATTTCACTGCACAGAATTCCATGGGGCTGCAACCAGCTTACCCAAGGATAGGCTGGACATGCACATGGTAGGCATGTTGTGAGCGGAGCTGGGGGTCAGACTAGATGGCCTGGGAGACCCCTTCTGACGCGCTCTGTTTCTATGTTTCTAAGTCATATGTAATCTGAACTCATGGAAATCAGTGGGACTGAAATCCCAATGGTTTCCATGGACCTACTCTAATTACGACTAAATTTGGCTTCGACCTGATGGTTGTAAGGCAATGCAGCCATCTAAGTCCATGGAGTCACTCAATCAAAAGCAACTACCCACTGCTCAGCCTATAACCATAATATTGCAGCTTTAGTTTAGTCTCACAACAGCCTTGTGAGGTAGGCTAGGCTGATAAAATGCCTTGTTTAAGCCCCTCTGGTAAACCGTATAGATGGGAATGGGAATTTGAACTTGAACTAATAGTCTGTTATACACCGACTTTATCTAAGAGAGTTTAGAGAAGCCTTCTCCAGCCTGATACCCTCCAGATGTTGGCTCCAGCTGCACCCAGTTTGGTCAATAGTCAGGGATGCTGGGGTTTTCCGTGGAAAATACCCAGAAGGCACCAGGTTGGGGAGGCCTGCATCAGAGCAACTGGAGGAAAAGCAAAACTGGACACAGTGCTCAGGATGGAGCCCAACTAGTGCTGGACAGAGGAAGCTGGTACCTCACATGATTTGAACCCATACTTTTATTAGCGCAGCCTAGCAGTGCATTTGCCTTTTTTGCAGGGACATCACATTGCCAAAACCGGGCACTCATGCCGGGGGTGGCAGGAGCAGCTGCACAGCCCAGGTTACGGGCGACAGGGCCGGCTGCAGAAAAGAGGCACCTTGCTGAGCACGTGTGCGGATTCAGCTACGAGAGCTGGAGCACCCTAAATGGCCCCACCCTGGCTTTATGCAAGGCCCCCCTTCTGGCTTTGGCTTCTGCAGGGCCAGTGGGGTGGGTCCCTTGCGGTGCTCCACCAAGCGGACCACCGGCAAGAGCCCCCCTGCCTCCCCGCTGCAACCTGTTTCTTCACCTGCCTCTTACCTGGCCCAGTTGCTGGTGCTGGCTCTCTGCCTGGGAAGCCAGCAAGTGGGAGCCACGCTGGGGAGGAGGAGGAGGAGGAGGGAAGGTGGCTGGAGGCAATGGTGATGAGGAAGCAGACCCTGGAGGGAGGCATGTTGGTAATGCAGGGTGTGTCACCCAAAGCCCCCCTCCCCGCCCCCGGCTCCCACTGGGGGCTGCATTTCTTTGCATTGATGCCACCTTCCATTAGAAACACTCCTCTGCCATGTAAGCTGATAGGAAGACTCTCATTTAATAAAAGCTCCCCTTGATTTAAGGCCCCCATGAGGAGCTGCAACTTCTCACTGAAATCTATCGCAAGTGATACTGGAACAATTTTGGTTCTGCAAGATTTTCTAATGGGTTGCTTGTAAGGGCCGGGCGCTCGTTGGACATTTTAAGCCATTGCGCACACTGAATTCAAGCTATTGTCATAGTAAGCCAAATTCAAGGACAGCCAGCTGTGAACTGAGGGATGTAGAGAACATCTTGAGGCCTAATCGAAAGTTCCATGTAGCTCAACAGAAGGACTAAAGAAGAAAGCGAGGGGAAATTGATCGTTGCTCCCTGGTTAGGGTCATCTAAGTGTCACCCATACTGAGACTATTTTGTGGCGGCAAAAATGTCTGCTTTGCTTTTCCTGGGCATTTTGATGTTTTATTGTTTTAATGCTTTTTGTTATTAGCACATTCGAGTCATTCTATAAGATAAATTGGTACATAAATATTTTAAATACCTAGCTTCTCCTGCCTTGTCTACCCAGCTGGGTGAAAAGACCTGACAGAGGGCTCCATTAAGTATGGTTGAATAATTCACTCCAACATCTTTTAAAAACATTGATCAGATCTGTAGAAATGAACATGGAAATTATACAATTGCAACTGAAAATATGAGTATTGCTGGGTGCGCGGTTTGAACCACACAAGGAAAACAAAACTGTTTGACAACATGCTCACAACTGACAAATGTGTAAACCCCACTGGGCATACTTCCAAAACAGAAACAAACACAGTTTATGAATGGGGGCATGCACACACTCACTGCTGCTTGCATTTGAAAAATGCACACAAAAATACTCAAGGTTTTTCCCTGTTATTAAGAAACAGCAAATTTGCACAGAACAGGCTTGGAATTAGGTGATGGAGGATGTTGCTGGAAGGACTTCAGAGGTTCATTCTTCTCTAGTTTGAATTGTGGGATTTCATCAAGATTTGAAATTTGACCTTCAGCAAATCAGTTTTTTCCTGACTCAGTGAAAAATGAAATAGCAACACTTATTTACCTGCTGTGCGATTTAATTAATCAATGGGAAAGGTGCCATGGCAACAAAATGATTTATTGCTGGAATTCTCCCTTGCAGTCTGGAGAAGCGAAATGGAGGGAAGAGCAAATCTGGACTACAGCACCCATCACCCATAGTCCATCTGGCCAAGGGCTCATGGAAGTTGTAGCAGATCATGGAGGGCATCAGCTTATGTAAGATGATTCTATAGAGGGCAAAGATAATGGGAGATTTTGGCAAAAGTAGGCATAACATCAAAGACATTGCAAGTGGGCATGGCTTTTCTTCTCTTTACTCTAGTGCAAATGCAGGATGTCTGATTTGGATTGGGACCCTAGTGTGAGGGGGTAGGTGAGGAAGAGAATTCCCTCTTCTGGACAAGCTAGCTCTGCTTCCTTTGATGACCAGGCAATGTTTTCAAAGCTGCAGGCACATCTGTAACTTTTCCCCAGGGCAGGAGCTCAAGAAATATCCCCCACTGCCGCCCAGTCTTTTCCAGGCAAGAATGACTGGCATCTGTTCTATATTCTGCTGTATAATATATTCGAATCTATAGGCTGAACTAGGAGAATGGCTGCTGAGGAAGCGCAAGAGCAGAAGTT